AATTACCTCTAAACTCCCTCAACTTATCCTGAATCAGAATTGCTCTATCGGTTTGTTTGCTAAAGCAATAGTGTTTCACAAGCAAACCACATGAGATAGAATCGAGCAAACACCCTTGACCCACAACTAAATCGAAAAATTCTTCTACTTCAACCCAACGACCTTGTACAGACAGTTTGCCGACATATGTCGATAGCTCATTGGCTGCAGAAGTGAAACCTCGCCGTACTATATCGACTAATTCCTACCCCTATTTAAAGTTCCCTCCACAGCCATGACAACACCCCACAGAAAAACCGAAAAGATAATAATGTTTGTTCCTAAACGTTACACGATTTACTTAACATCCAACTTTAGTGCAATCATATATTTACAAACTGTCATTTCCAGACCTGTGGTATCTTGAAGTTGGTAAGTCAATTGTAAACTCCCTGAATCTATGCACAAGAGTTAAAGGTGGCTTTGCAAACGTTAGAGACCTAACGACTATGGAGTTGGAAGACCATCAATTTTATTTATTAAATTATTTCACATAATTTGCTAATGCAGGTGAATGTTTGCATTTGATAGCAATCGTCAGCTATTTCTTTTCTGGATTTTGATTATTATTTATTTATTGTACAGTGAATATCTTCTTGAGAAATTTATTCAACGCAAAATAGTTAATGGCGCCATCTAAGCAGAAGCTGGAGTCCTTAAACATGGGCCCAGCAAAATGGCGCACGATCCACAATTTAGTGGTGATTTATATATAGTACGATTTTTATGAACTTTTTTTTTTTTTCAAACGATAGACTTCATAAAAAAACAAACACATAATTACAACCGGCTCAATAGCTGAATAAGAGAGGTCTACCACTATAGGTAGCCTAGACCACAACACACAACAAAACCACAAAAAACTAAAAGCCCCACTAATGAGGAATACATACTCCCCACGGGAGAATTCACACTCCTAAATCGGAGAAAAAAACACTAACACACACTCACAACACAGAACAAAACACAAAACAAAAAATCTAAAACAAGCAAAAAACTACAGCCCTCCCCACCGGACGGGAATTCCAAGCTGCACCACACCCGAGCAAACACCCATCGCAAAATACCAAGAAAACCACGAGATCTACGGCCCAAACACATCGGATCCAGAAACTCCCCTAATGGGCTAACCAGATCCGGACCACAAAGCTCGACAGCTCCTCCCAGTACCTCACAGACCCGACCCCGGCCGGACCACTCCACAGCCCCCCCCACGCATACACCGGAGCCACCGCGCCACCGCAATCACACAGCCGCTGCCGGAGGACCCGACCTTTCAAACACCAGGGAAGGCCGGGTAAGGGGAGAACCAAGGCTAGACCGCCGCCATCGACCGCCACAAGGACGCCCTCGACGTCCGCCGAAACAATAGCCGCAAGCGCCACCTGCCGTTCCTTGCCCGCCATGGCAATCGGAGTAGGATTGGAACCTCGCGAGAAGGTGGAGGCAAGAGAGCGCCACAGCCACGCCGCCGGGCCCAGGAAGAGCCAGGTGTTCGCCGGAATTAGGGAGGGCCTGGGCCGCCGGAGGAGAGGCTCATAACGAGCGACGAGAGACTAGGGCAAGGAGATTTGGGAATCTTACTTAAGAACAATACATAAATTTATTTCAATTATTATATATATTATCATAATAAGTATTATTTATGTGAAAAATAAGAATAAAAATAAATAAGTAAATTTATATATAATTTTTTTTTTAAAATTAATTATTTAATAAGTTAATTTTTAAAAATATATAAACAGAAAAATAAAACGAACAATGATAAATTGTTAAAATGTAAAACTATAAAAATATAAAATACATAAGTCATATATTTTTAATTATTAATCTATGAAACATTAATTCAAATAGAATTTTTTATTCACATTGAAAATATGTTTACCTATAAATTGTTACTAGTACAGAGCCCGTGCGATGAACGTGGTGCACAATTTTAAGGCTATTTATCCAGGCTTATAATTATATACATGAATAAAGAAAAATGTACGAGATATAAATAGTACGTGACCCGTGCGAAAGCACGAGTATATTTATTTGGAAAATATTATATTATAAGATGTAATATTCAATAAAAGTTTATAATACGCAAGAAAATTGTACAATGTTCAAATACCCGTGCGAAGTACGAGATATATTTATTTGTTTTATGATTTGATAATATAAACAAATCTATACTTAACTTTGACAAATAAAACAAATAAATACTTTAGTAAGTATTTAATGTATATACTAAATAGGAATATATTTGGTATAATCAAATACCAAATATAATCAAATAAGTCAAAGTTTATTTGGTATTTGATATTTTTATTATTAAAATCTTTTTATTATACTTACTTTTTTAAAATAAAAAATAAATAAATTAATTAAATAAATAAAATATTATAATACAAAAATAGTAATGGCATTTAATGCAGTTGACTTTTCTGGATAGTAAATGTAGTAAATAGAATCTCCTTTTATATAAGTATAGATTGTAAAATACGGAAATAGTAATGCAATAATTGTTGTTGACTTTTCCTTATACTAAATCTGGTAAATTGTATACCTTTTAATATAAGTATAGATTTATTGAAAAAATTTTTTTATTTAAGTGCTATAGATTAACAAAGTACAAATAATATAATTTTTTTTCAATATACTTATTTTCTTAAAAAAATATTATACATTATTAAAAATTTGGTACTTTGAAATATTCTATATTATGTTCATAAGGTAAAAAAATTAATATAAGCATAGAAAAAATATAATGAAAATAATTGGTGTTAGAAACAATAAAGTGTAGTATTTTAAAACACAATGTCTTCAATTTCAAGGTATGGAGATTATGAATTTATCATGATATATCATCATTGTATAACTCATTGTACAATTTGATTGTACATGTAGCACTACTCAATTCTATGTTTTCTGTATAGAGTACAGTTGTTGCTGACAATGCAAAAATAGGTGAAGTTACTCCCTCTTGTAAGAAACGTCTCTCTGGAGATATCAACCACGAGAATGGTGGTGATAGTGTGCCGCATTCCCAAGGTTCATGCACGATTGAGATATTGACTCAATTCTAATAAACTCGGCTTGGTTTATTATAGCCGTAAACATTTTATTTTATGATTAATTCTTTTTCTAGAATAATGGTTTGTTCCGTAAATATTTTATTTTAAGATTACTTTTTATTTTTTTTTTAAGAATAATGGTTTGTTCGCTATTTGCTATGATCAATATTTGATTTTTGCTTAATCCGATCACTTCCAACTCCAAAATAAATAGCATTTTTATATGCCGTGTAAGTAGAATTTTTTTGCCCTCCAATAAACTTTACCGAAATCGATGTAACAAAAACAAATCCGATTACTTAATATAATATATATTTTCTTAATTCGATCCCCTCCAAAATTATATTTATTATTAAATTAAATGAATAAAGTGTAGCCGTTCTCTACATTATTTAAATCATCATCCCCTTCATTCTGATTCCCCTTCATCTCGATTATTCATCTTACAAAAATTGAATTTAAGTAGGACAGACTTGAAAATTCTGCGTTGCGATAAGAATGGAAAAATTGTAAATAAAACTATTAATGTTGTGTAATTTTTTTTTTTTTAAATTTGAAATAATATCGACTTTGGTATTTTCTATTTTGGCACTTTTATACAACAATATGTGTTTTTCTTATTATTCTATATTTTATATTTTTTTTTCAAACAACCAGTGTAGTACACGGGTGTCGTACTAGTAGAAGTAAAAGTGAAATATTTAGGCGGGATTTTAATTAATATTTCAGGTAAATATCAAACCTTTATATATATATATATATACATATATAGATTAATCAATTTATGGTATAAATTTTACAAAATTAATAAATTTGGGTTTGCTATAAAGTGGGCGATATTATTTGAGATATCTGATGGTCATTTTTATTTTTAGTAGAAAATGTATTGTTATTAATAAATATCCAAATTTATGGTATAAAGTGGGAAATTTTGTTTTGATAAATGGTATAAATTTTATTTGGTTTGGATAGAAGTGTATTTGGAAATTCTAAAAACAAAATAAGCGATATGAATTTTATTTGATATGGATATTAAAGTCGAATTTTAGGTTAATTTGTTATAAAATCAAGGTGACATAATTCTCAAATTTTAGCATATTCACATTATTACTTGTCATAAGATATTGATGATAATTCGACAAATTGGTGTGTATTCCTCTTGAAAATCATAAAGATCTTTGAACAAATATTGGTTGATAGAATTTCAAATTTGTAATTTAATTCTAGAGAATTAGTTGATAAATTTGAACAATAAGGTAACCGACAACAAATCTGAAAATTGCGAAATAAAAAATATATACATATATGAAATATATAAAGGAATTTATAATGTAGTCTAAATTTGAGTTTCAAATTTAAAAGTCAAATAAGTAATTATTCATAACTTACAGGTCCATATTAACTTTGACGAAAATGAAATAGACAATTATTTGTAATTTAATAAATTACTCAACTATATACAAAAATAAATTCATTTTAATTAATGAAATAATAAAAATTTTATAACTATACTTATTATTCACATAGATTTTAAAATGTATGATAAAATTTCACCAAAATAATTATTTTATGGAATCACATTGTAGTCGAATTGAATCTTTGAATAAAAATTTTAAAATGACACTTATTTTGAAACGAATATAATGTAATTTATTATCAGTTACGTGCACCATACGAGTTATGTACTAACTTTGAATAGACATGTTTTATATAATTTGCACAGTTTAAATTTCATATAATATTTTCAATAAATTAAGATAGGTAAATTATATGACATATTAATTATATTTTTTAAATTATACATATTATTTAATAAATATTTTTAATTTATAAATATTAATGAATATCTTTTTACTTATTTGTATGATCTTGTGGTAATAGTTTAGTAGTTAAAAGTTAGAACTTCAAACAAAAAATAAGAGGCGAAAGTGAACAAAGGCACGCACGACCAGAAAACGGAGAAACTCATAAAAGAGCGAAACTGTCCGGCGATTCGCGCAACCTCACCTGTGTCTTGCGCCGACCACTCTACTGCCGCCGGACCACCGCTATCATCGACGGCATCCCCATAACAGGTAACTCACCTCTGGAAAAACGGGTCTGGCTGTTTCACCTTATTTTTGGGAAGCCCATGTCCCGGTCGACATCTTTAGCCTCGTTTATGTATGATTGGATCCGGTTTCGGAAAATCCCATTTTTCTGTCTCGAATTCAATCTTTCTTTCGCTCGCCTGAAAATGCGTAACATCTGGGTTGCGGTAGATTTCTAATTTTGTTTAAATTTATCACATAATTCGTTTTTAAGTTTTTCTTTTTGTGAATTTTGACAAACAGAAAATTGACAAAATATGGGGAATGTCTTTGTGAAAAAACCGAAGATCACGGAAGTTGACAGAGCCATTCTCTCCCTCAAAACTCAAAGGCGTAAGCTTGCTCAATACCAGCAGCAGGTGATTTTTTTCTATTGAGACGTTTGGGTTTTGGGTTTTGGCAATTATTCTTGAATTAAGACGTGTAGGTTGTGTAGAGTTCTTGAATTTTGATCCATTTTCGATTTAAAGTTTGAATCTTTCCGAAATCATGCATTATGATCAATCAGTTGAATGAAAGGGGAAAACTAGAATAATCGCAGGTGTCAGTCTTTTATTCACCTCTTCTTATTTGGTGTTTCAATATCGAATAGTCAATTATTGGGAGCTTATTCTACTCATTGATTAGTTACTTATCAAAGACATACTTCATGTTAATTTTTGTATTTTCCGATTGCCATTTGGTTAGTCTGGCTTTTCCGCATTTCACAAGTAGTCTGGAAAATGTTTTTCTAGTTTCGTCTTCATGAAATCTTAGACTTTGTCAAACTTTATTAGTTTTCACATGTACCATCATTATTGTGA